CAAAATAAGAATGGTTCAAAACGTATAGAAAATTAAAAATAGAGAGGCGTAAACAAAGAAATCATAATTTTATTTAGCGCTTGAAATGACCAACGCATATAGCCACACAGCAATTATTGCAGTTATAAAATGTATCTTGTTTTTTGTGATATACAAACTACACAGCGTATGCGAGTTTTCTTCGGTGAACTGGTTTTAATGAACATTGGAAAATGTCGACCAGTAAATCTGTATGGTAATGATAGACATGGTGTAGCTATTCGTATTCTTGTTCATATGCGCTCTAGTTATAATGCCTCAAAAGAGAGCGCGCATATACTCCGATAATACCCACCGACACTTCATGCCCACCTTCTCATACTATAATAAACTGACAAAATAAATTCATTTGTTTTCAATTAAATTATATTAACGGAAAGAGAATAACAGAGACAACATAAAAAAAATAAAGAACGTAGATTTATTGCTTACCATTTTAAACATGGCTGTCACATACATGTACATATACATTACGTATTTATAAACATTATGTATAAATAATAATATTTATCTTATTTGTGTTTAGTGCATTCTTTACAAATTATTATTCTTTATATTTTCAAAAGGTTTTCATAATTTTTATTGTCTTTGTAATATTTTACTTGGAAAATTTCTCGTATACTTGAATCTAAACTTATACTTGATGCTTTTACTGTATTTTCTTTTTCACGCGATTCTCGACATTCAGCAGCAGGGTCTGTAGCTGACCGAAATAAAAATTCCTGTCTTGAAATTTTTTGTGTTACTACACACTGTTATCAACCATTCCGATAATGCTTATATAATTTAAATATGTAATGTAATAAGAGGACTAATCCGCTCTCAGGCCGTGCCATATTCAGATAGCCTTTCTTTTGTAATGATTTTATAAATATGGTAGGGTAAATATTCCAGACGCTTCGACCGGTCATAATGACTGACTGCGGCAGGTAGAACAGCTTACATACATTTCTCGAAAAAAAGGAAAATGAAAGGAGAAGTAAATACTGAAAAATATCATGTGTACACATTCTAAATTGTAAAAATTAATTACGATATGATAATATTTTATGTGGAAAATTGTACACGAAACTTCTGAACGGTCAATTTGATCGGTGTCGGTAGGTATAACGTTAAGCTTTTACGAAAACGAATGAATAATACAATGAGTGATTCTGAAGAATAATTATTATTATCCGTGGAGTGGTATATCACGAAAAAAATGCCGTAAATATAAATGTTACGCATTGTATTCTTTCTATCGTTAGTCAATACTAAGCCCAGCTCTATACGTCGCTTTAATTAATATTTGAATGCCACGTCACCCACATACAAGTGACGCAATTCTTTACGTAAACTTAAGTTGTATGTATGAGATACAAAAAAGACAGTACTTATTTTCGCTAGATGCATCATTTGAAACAGTTTTTAAACCATTCAAATTGACCAATAATCGTAGCAATCGTGCATTCTACGATATTTTTAAAGAAAATTTTCGAATCCTCCGAGTTTTTATGAACATTTCTAAGCGGTTAAATCAATCTTTCGAATTAGGATTCAAAAAAATTTGTTTTACATATTCAATAAATATCGCAGCTTTCATTACTAAAAAGAATAAAATGTATGAAAATATTTCCTTAGTAATATACACTATAAGTATCAATATATAATTAATTACTTTGTTCAATTAGTAATGTGCAGATCGATGATATATACCATCAAAATAAAATGTTAATTTAGCATAAAACTGTAATTCACATATTGTAAAAGCGAAGAAAATTATATCAGGTGGAATTTAAAAAGAAATATTTACCTAGAGTTCACTCTGAAGTTTTAAGAATTCATGGCAGATATATAGGCAGACGTGTCTATGTGTAGCAGAAAATATGGTCACGTCCAGCACAATCTGTACAATACATATTGAGATACGATATTCTCTTTTCCATGATCACGCGTGACACGTCCAATATATTGGATACTCATGATTTATAGGGGGCGTATCAAACTCTGTGAATACTCCCAACGAAGAGTTATAGAAGCGATTGATAGGGTATACACACTAGTGTATTGATACTTTTAATTTTTCATACAATTAACTTCTTTATAAAGTGAATAAACATCTATTTATATCAAGGCGGTAGCATAAAAATCAATTTATTCTGATTGTGAAGTAAAACTATTACAAAAGAATACAGTGAACTTTGTAAAATAAACATTAAAAATTTCCATTTATGTCAACGAATTGATACATAAGGAACTCTAGTAAATACTATCACTTCACAATTGTGTCCATAATTTGGCTACAGATTTTAATAATATCAAAAATAAAGTTTGCTGAATTAATTCAGTTACAGAAAAAATTGGAATATTTTCAAAATCATCACTTACAAATTACAAAAAATCAAATTTCAGGATTTCATAGTGCTACATCCTATTATTACCCCATCGATAATTACTTTGGTAACAAGTCATTAGGAACCTGCTATAACCAAACTACCATTGCGGCTTTTCAAAACAAAACATTAATAACGAATATAAAGTACAGCTTCGTGGTCACGTTAAAATAGACCTTAACAAATATCGCATGCAAACGGTTTGTTTGATAATTGAGACTTACTATAAAAAATTCAAACAATGTTTTTATATTAAAATAACTCCATGATTTTATTCTTCATAAAAAGTTAATTTAGTAGATAATGTGTATTTATCCGTAACATTTGTATCTTCATTTAAGTTTATAAAACCTCTTTTCATTGAGAACAATCGCTTTCCAACTGGTCAAACGATATATCAACTCCTATATTCATCAATTACAGTGAATATATAAACGAAATTTTAAATATATTCTAAAAAATTATAGTTCAAAGTAGAAAAGAACAAAGAATGTAGCTACAAGGAGTAAACACATAAAACTCCCCGCTCTAGAAGAAGAATTACGATAAAGTCCGAAACGTAGATTCGCGATATTCTATTTTAGATACATGTCCTTTTACCCGTCCCAGCGCGGAAAAGTCGAATTCGCGCTTTCACCGTGGTGGCATTATGCAAGTGGCCATTGACAAACGCGAGCAAGAACCCGAGCAAGAAGACAATTTCAACAAGGCTGCGTTTCACGGGAATTTCCTGTGTCCCATCGAGCCCCTCTGCTTTTCCATCTGCACCCTTACTGTGCCTAGACAGAGCATGATACCCGCGCTTCGTTTTTGACCGTAATTATGCGGCTGTATCGACGACAGACGGCCATTCCGTTTGGCTCGGTGACCACGATAATTGGCATTGGGCCCACGATGAATACACTTCGATACTTCTCATCCGTCCGTTTATTAAGATCGCTTTCATACATAGCAATCCCGCGATGATTGTTTCCGCGCCCGGAGCGGCTCAATTAACGGTGGCCAGCCGGCGCTGACTGGTATATACACGCGGCGGCCACACACGGTAAAAGAGACGAGACGGGTCGTATCGTGTCGATGGGAAAATGGCGAAGACGGAGAAAAGAGAAAGAGAAAGAGAAAGACAAGATAATTCACATTGTTCAACGGGCAGACGGCCTCGAGGCATCCGCCTCTTCAAAGCCATTCGACTCTCCCGGCCGCTCTCATCGAACCAGAGTCCGGCAGTTAATGAACTGCCCTTCGGCGTTGCAATTCACGCAGGTGCCCGGTCGTCTAGGAACCCGGCCAAGTGCTGGCGAGACCCCATTATCCATTTACATAAAGGACCACAACGACCCCGGCTAAGGGTTTACACTGCTCGCTTAACCCCCGAGGATTTCCGCCGTTCTCGTCGGATTAATGCTCGCCCGATTGCCGGACAACAGCGTTTTTCAACGAGACTCGCACGCACGGATCGCGCCATTTCGGTCGAATCGTTCGGCGCAGTTTCTCATGTCCGCTCCGAATTATGATGTTGGTTCTTGGTCGGTCAGGCATGCTTTTTTTCTGCGATCGTATCACTGATGCATCGTGGATCGAGGGACAGTGCTTAGAATTCAAAGCCTTGTTTCGAAAACATATTTTTCGTACAGGAATTCGAACGGTATCTCACAGTGAATTGTCCAAAAAAATATGTACTACGTATGGGACGTTAAGAATGGTTCATTTTATTTTAAATGATTCGTGAAATGAAATGGAATATCGGGAAACTGAATAACCTCGTTGTATTGAAGAGCGCTTTATAGCGTAATCTTTTCAATTCTATTGGAGAATGAAAATTAAATTCGGTGCAATACTTTATGATGGAAATATCTTCCTTTTGAATCTAAATCATGTCGAGTAAATAACGATAAAAATGTAATTTAAAAAGTGGGGTACAACTTGAAGAATTTTATACAATTATTTTAATGTTCTATGCAATACTTAAATCTACCTTATTAAATAACTACTATATTTAATGCGTTATCGCCCACAACTACATTCGAAACGCAATCAGGTAATAATTGAATTCATTATCTCCATTAGCCTCGTCGAAATAAAGCAGATCCTCGTGATTCATTGTCTGCGTATATGCATATCATTCATATACGAAACATAGTACGAATTTGTTGATAAGACGTTCGTATTAAGCACCCAACATTATCAACTTCCATCATCATAAACAACAATCGCTATAAACATTGCCGTCAAGCAATACATTCGTATTCAATTCTCCTCCTCATCCTCGAATATTTTTCAGAAATCTGCATTAAAAGAATTCACAAAACGAAGAAACTGCAATCGGAATGGTTTCAACGGCAAGGTCACGCGAAAAGACGAAACGCCACAGGGTACCACGTGAGCGCGGTAGTCTCACGCAATGGTAGCGCCATCTCTGACGTCAGGGGATATTCGCAGGGCGAGTGTCACACGGTAACGGGTCTTCCTTGCGTCGTCTCGCGAAATCGTCTCCCTCGGAAACAACGATAGCGTTTCCGCGCGTAACTGACACGACGCGACGGCCACGTAAGCGTGACAATAGAAAGGAACAGTGAAGGTTGCACTCACCTGAACCATTGATGTGTGTCGACACGCGAGACGGACTTCCCCGCTTGGCGGCAGCCTGACGGCGAAATCAGTCCGTGCCAACCCCTGTCGTTGGCCTCGTGCTCCGTGCATTCAACATCGGGGCCGCGCGCGATACCGGTGCGGAGTCGTGAACAGCACGCGTCCACGCACCCACGCACGCACACACTTGAACGTCACTACCCGCGACACGGTCACGACCACGCCCACCGTGGCACCGGACTTTCCACGGACCCGGACTTCTTCCTTGAACAAAAAATGCCCGCGTTTTGTTTACGCCTATACCGAATCGGTGACAGCCGCACAGTATCTATCGCTGCCGCTAGGAGCTCTGCGCCTCGGCCGCGGGCGCGCAGTCGCCGACCGGCGAAAATCGATTATTTCCGACACTTCCACGGTCAATCTTAATCCGGCCGTTATAAATCCATGAGTGATGCGCCGGCAATTTTAACACACTGAAATCGCCGCGGCGGCGGCGGCTTCCGCGATGCTTGGCACCGAAATGTTGTGAGCTTGATGGCTGTCAGTTGTCTCTATTCCCGGGGGTAGAGGCGTCTCGCTCTGCGGAAAGTAATTTAATAAGAATTACACTCGTCACGTTCAGAAGTAAATGCTTATTATTAGAATAAAATGTTCCGGTTGGAGCGAAACGTTTCCTGTGTCCTTATGAATGATTCACCCCTTCGTATCTACGTCGTTCATGAGGTGCTCTGGACGAGACATGTGATACGCTTTTTTTTTGGAATTAGATACTGCCTCCAATGATTTGTAAATACGAAAGGGAGTAGCAATCTTTAGCGACGGAACTGTTTTATTTCTATAAATAAATAAGTTTATTCTTTTTTGTGTATATAATAATTCAACGCATGGCGTTCTATGTAACTTGAGATTGTAATTCTTACAAAAATAACTCGTTCCTTTACGTAACTTATCGTGTTTACAAAACCGTAAGATATCTTATCATAACACTTTATAAACGATATCGTTTGACGAAATATCTCTTCCATAAGATCTTATGAATCACAATACAATAGTTGAGTTTTTATAGTCATTCAACCAATGTTTTCATTAGTGAAGTAATGAATTTCATTATAATTTTATTGATTTTCATCCTCGTTCAGAATGTAAAATATTTTTAACATATTTATAATATACTGTTTATGTCATAAACACTGAAAACGATTTGCACCAGCAGTAATAGTTTTTTTCATTGTAATTGCCAAGAAATCTATCTTCCAATTAGGTGAACCATGTAACAAATAAACCCATTTCCTGCATCGATTGTGCATTTGACAATGCTTAGTAACATATCTGAAGCACAATAATTGTCGTATTAATGTATGTGAATAATATCCATTGCATAATAACCACAACTCAAGTACACTATATACATTTACCAATATCATGAACAAAATAATCCCATAAAGAATGTTATCTTTAGCTCCGAGATAATTCTGCCGTTAATAGATTCTACATAGTGAAGATAATATAGCATTAATATTCATAAAACAATTGCCGTAAAACGTTTTATCTCTGTTGTAATACAAATAACGAGAATTATTCATAACATTAGTAAAATTATGAGTTATTACTCCCAAAAAGTAAAAGCTCAAATCTTTGCAATATAATTGTAACTAAATTCACCACTCTTTCGATTAAAACCAAACATTTTAAGATAATGCTCAATAAATTATATATTAATGAATAAACACTTTCACGTTCATCTATAAAGTTAAGCGATTAAATAAAATAATTGTCATCACGAAACACTCGAAATTTAGTACCAATGGAATGTATTCATGTATTTGTTTCTTTCCGAGCAAAATTTTAGCTAGGTCCAGTTCAACTTCCATCCACATCAGCGTAACATTTAAACCGCTTCGAAACAGTGAACAAGTGTTATCGTATCCGTTCGTTTAACGTTTCGGTATCCCTAAAATAACACGTTAAAACTCGAACTCGATAACAATAATGGGCCACGCGGAAATTAAACGGTTATATCGGAATCTAACTTCAAATTTTAGACCATTGTTCCTTTGGGCGACTAAATTATCTCGCACAGGATAATTACCAACAGAGTCTAACACTAACAAGCGCTATTTCCACAGAAAAGAGACCGCCGTCCGTAGTGAAATTATTTTTACGGCAACTGGTGCGCTAACTTACTTATTCATGAGGCCGTTCACGATACATACTGCGAAAAATAGACGAAGGAGGAAGAAAGCTCGCAGCCCTTAATCTCCGGGGCCTTTAAATTCTTTCCCTGCAGATAATCCAGCAGATGATCGCAGATAAAAATGGTTCCTGCCGGTTATGTCCGCTTCGTAAGCACCCTTCGCGACTTGGAACTGCTGGCGGATCGCTGGATGGGTTACGTTAGGTGGCCGGAGATGTCAAAAACCGTTGAATAATTTCTGAATTCGCTGAGACAGTCTAGATGGCCCATGCATTCCCCGGTGTGCCGTACGGTTGTCCGTATGAATGGAAAAGTGTGCGTAGTCATGCGTGGCCGGTCATGCAACCATCTCGACCGGTATCTGCGGTGACGACCGAACCAACGCCGCTAGGGAGCTTCCCAAGATAACATTCCCTGAATAAGTCACCTCGATGGAATTAAGTTTAAATATTTCATCGGTCGACTAATCTCGACGGCGCGAGAGGAAGTGCCTTGTCCTGGACAAGACTCCCAGAGATGTGATATCCAGGAACTCGAGAAAAACGATTTGCTCTTCGAGATCGCGGGGCAAGAAACTTGGCTCCGCAGGAACTGGAAAAAGACGGTGGCCAAGGAACGAAAAGGTAGCCGATTTATGCAAATAATTCGATAACGATTTTAAGTTTCTGTCTTCTCATTTTATCCCGGGGAGATGTAAATTAGTCGCTGCTTAATGCAACCCATGGTTTGCGACGCTTAGCGTGCTTCCTTGATATGGACTAAATAAAGACGGACAAATTGATAGCCCATGCACAATTACCTGTTTCTTGCTGAGAGTAAATTTATACGCGAATAGCATTTTTTCAGACAGTCTCTTTAATTTATTTCTTTATTATAAATATATTTTAAAATTTTATAATGTCTGTTTGCGAAAATTACTAATTATGAGATCATGACAAACACAGAGCTTCAAAATTCCTGTGCTTCTTAATTTGCAATATTTAAATTTAATAATTTGCGTCAATATTTTATATCAGCGTAAACTATACTTCACAAAATTAATTTTGTTCTATAGAATGATACATTATTTAATGCGTCATCTACTGAAACGTAGGGTTAGGGAAGGCTGATTTGCTCAAGTTTATTTAAGCGTCAATTAGAAATGAATGTCGCATACAGAACTTCGTTGAACGAGAACTGAATTATGCACGAAATCCCGCGATATAGTCAAGGGCATAGTGCTTGGCTCATAATACGATCCACCATCTCCTTCTCGTAAAGATGACGTTGCCTTAGGGACTCCAAATATGAATCTTCAATGACATCACGTGAGTTTGACGACGATCCAAAGCTTGACGCTCTCCCGAATTTTTTAGACTTCTCCGATGAAGATACTTTGCCAACATCAATGTTCCCCTTGGAATACTTGCCATAATTTGTGCCTCCATTTAGCGAGATAGTATCCTGCTCCTCGAATATCGTCGAAGATATTGAATTGCTCTGCATCTGCAAGGATACGCGTCGTACACATAAAAATACGTGGAAAACAATCTTCATAAAGCAGAATTAGAAACAATATCTCCGTTTCGCTAAGTGAAGCTCGTTTCGAGAAACGAACGGAAAAGTTACCAAAAAATCGTCAAACAGAAAGCATGAGAAAAGTCTCTGTACACGATACAAAATGCTCGCTCTCTTTGACAATTCATACGAATATAGTATGAAGCGATCATTGACGACCCGGCAACATTTCAGACGGCTCAAAGTACCGAGGATGCTAAGGTACTTGAAAGTATATCGGAAAATACCGGAAAAATCCACTTTTCGGACAATCGTGCATGAGGATATCAAGGGATGGATGATCGTCGACCGTGTTTGAGGAACGGTAAGAACTCTTGATTTACCTTTACGTCGACTTCTTTATCCTTCAAAGGAGGCAGAAAACATTTTTGAGGGGCGCTGCGCATCGGCTGTGGACACAAAGAAGTCGATGGCTGAGGAGTCTTTTCCTACTAAACAATTCTCGGATAAGAAAAAAGAGCGCATAACTGCGCGCTACTTCGGAATGCCCTTACCATCGAGAAAGGGAGAAAAATTACGACAAAGCGAACCGAAGATAACATCTCGGCGAATATTACTTCGACAGAGACCTGATCGTGCCGTTAAAAATCGTATGGGACGCGGTGTTCGAACACCCGACATTATTTCGGAATAGTTTCCCGATAAATTTCCCGTGACGGAAATCCCGTGAAAGCAAGCCATTCCAGAATTCCTTTACAAATTGTTTTGCGGCAACTGGTGCATCGATGCAGCCGACCGAACAAAGAAAGTTCCGCGGGAACGGGCAGGGGAAGCAAATATGCATAAAGGGCGTAACTCATTGAAATTCAGGCCGCGATTATCGACACCGAGAGAACAGACAGATGAGGATACAAACGGGGACCACTCTCCCTCGCAAGCACAAAAGTAAGCAAAATCTAATTCTAGTAGCGGTAGGCAAGTCACGGGGACCGTGCCGTCCCCTTTCCCCGGATGTAACGCAGGTTTATCCGCGTGTAGAGAGTTTCTGTACCTTCTCCCTCCTCTTGTATCCTCAATTTCTGCCTGTCCTTGTGGTAGTTGCGGCCTGCAGTCCTCGCTTTGTGCATATAATTGAATTTAGGGTTCGGATACCGGTCTCTACTTCGGCCACCGACATCCACGCCGGAATCCTTCGTCCTTTTCCCGCGTTTCCACCCTACACTCCCGTATCTTATGATTAGATCCAACCCAGACCTAACTAACGACCAATTTTGCATATCGAGCTACTACGAACAACTGCGTGATAAGAGGAGTGTAATTAATAAACTGCGAACCGTGTTTGCACCTGCCGCGTCTCTTCGCTTTTCAGAACGCCGGAGAATTATTGTCGAGGAAATTTGATTTCGTTTGTGGGGACTATGAGCTTCCGGGCTAAGCTCGCTTCCGATGGTATTTACACTTTATGGGTCACCGTTAATGCATGAGCGTTCGTGTGCGAATTCGATTTTAGGATACCTTTGAATGGATTAAATAATTAGACACGTGTACAACAAGAAAACACTCCAAAAATCGCAGATGTTTTTTGCATAGAATTATTCTGTAGCCGCAAGGACTTTGAAATGTATTTACTTTTGTATCCGGAAATCCTCTCTGCGAGGGCATTTTGAATGGAACATTAAATTCTCCAAGCACAAAGGGTTAACGTATGTGGACCATTTCCCTCGTTTGGATTTATGTCAACTCGTACATTCGATTAATTTATTTATTATTCAATATGCTTTCGGGAGCTTATATTGGAAATAGAAATACTTTGTATTATACGTAAACGGAATCACTTAATTTTGTTTTTGCATGATAGACATCTACG